TCCTCGAGAGCCTGACGAAGCTGATCTTCGGTATATTGAGGCATTATATATAGAAGAAGACATGTGCAAAAGATGAGCCCATTTGGACGCGAATTGAAAATGTTGTGATAAAAGGAGGTTGGGGGTGGGCATTGGGTTGTGGTGGATTTTCGCGTTTTTGTGGGTGCCAGAAACAGGGGGGTGCCAGGAAGTGGGTATGTTGACTTAAACTGTTTACCCTTCCCCTTCTTCTGCATCGGTACATCGATAACAATGTCGCCCGCAATCATAACACCAAACATCATTATCCTCGCTATACGTTCAATCAATAGGTGCGATGTAGCGAAAACCTGCGATAGATGGCTGTTGTCAGACTTCTATGCTTTAATTACCTCTTCAAGGGACTCGGCCAGTCTCAAACTTGGATCAACCAAACTGTAGGTCGATACTACTCATGAAGACCTCATTCCCATACCTCTAAAATCTTCTTTTAGCACCTTTGCTGACTAGATGGATTCAGGATCTCAAACATCTGCTACAACAAGGCGAGCAATTACTCAGGGACGCAATTGCGACGCGGAAAGAGCCCCGGTCTTCTCACCATGCTCAAGCAAGAAATGCACGGCCATGATCCCAGCGACCGCTGTTACGGGCATAGCGACGTTATTGATTTCATTGACTATCGATGGGAGCTAGCACAGTTGACCGATTTGATCCTGGCCAGGTTCAGGCTAGCCTTGGGGTCAGCCTTGTTTTTTATGGACGCGTGACAGCTGGCAAACATTTGCAAATAAGAGAGACAAGGGGTATTACGAGCGGTACTACAACGCGTTCCGACTTCTTGTGGACATGAAGTTCCTACTCGAGCCCACCGAAAGCCAGGGACCCCCTGTTGCCCGTTTCATTCACTACTTGGCCGCAGCCATTGCATGGACACCGAATTTCTCTAACTGTTGGTATCCCTATTACAGGGTAATTAGTTCGAACCGTGGGTTGACGAAGAGATCAATTGAACTATATGAATTTCTGCGTAGGTGTAAAACGGAGGTTCCAACCGTAGGTTGGGCAGGCCGCGATAATCGGAAGTAGGGGCCGTAATTGGCCCCTGCGCGGTCGGCCGTACGCCGAGGTCGAATTGGACTTCCAATCTGACACTAACGCACAAAGAGACGAAGTTGTTAAACATTTGGTAGACGAGATGCAGAGGTACAAGGGTTTCTACCGGAATGTATGCCTCAATGACAAGGGGATCATCAGCAGGAGAAAAGAGTGGCTGGACAAGATTGGCCGATAGGTTCGTTGGTATATAGCCATATCCAGGGGGATAACCCCTTCATTGGGGCCGTTTTAATCTTCGTTCAGAAATATTCAAACAATTTGTAACTAACAAAAGAGTGCCTTTGAGACGTTTAACATAGCTTGATTTCTGCAAAGCAAGTTTAGTCGGGCTCGTTCAAATAATTCCCGAGGTCAGGCAAGCGAGCCACCAACAGGTTTCCATGAAAGCTTGATTTTATGGTTCGAAACTTGGGATGTAGATTCAACCAACAAAAGAATTATGTGCAGAGAAGAGACAGAAGGAAGACAGCTGTTAATCGCCTCGGGATGTCTTGCATTTGCGTTGAAATGCGCCCGCAGAATAGCGTTTTCAGGTGAATCAGATACCGAGATACCGCAAACACAAGAGGAGGACGCTGTATTGGCTCGCCAACTTGACAGTCTGATGGATAGATACGATATTGCAAGGTAAGCCGTCGTAGGGCCCTCTTCATGATTTTCAAAAGAATTGGTATAGGGCCGTGGACCAATTACTACCTTCTGTTCGGTATGAAAATTAGGACGACTTTTCGTATGAGCACCCCTACGACCAGGACCTTGAAGAGTTGGAGGGACTTGAGAGAGAGAACCAGGAAGCACAACTTCTGCGTACTCTTGAATATCGGGATTTCGAAGACTCCTAGGATGTCATTGATGACTTTTTTGCGAAGCAGATTTGGAGCCAGGACTCGTGAGCGCTGCAGAGTCTGAAATTTGATTTCGTCTCGTCAATTACAGGAGCTAGTTCCTACAACAAACCGTACACATACACGAAGTTACAGTGCATTGACAAGGAACACGGAACAGACCCAACATTGGCTGTTTGCAGAGCTCGTCAGCAATCTGGCCCCCATTAGGAATACGTTCCATGTCTTGATGTTTCTCTGATGGTCGGCTTACTGCATCGCTTTGCGGCGTAGGAATACAAGGCAGCAACCTGCTGCCAACGCCGGTGGAAACATATGTATCACAGTCTATTCTCCTCAATTTCGATGTCTCCTTCGATTCGTTCGCACATCTTATTACTGAAGCTCGAACAAAACTACGCAGAAGACGGAGGTAGCAGCTTATCGATGATAGGTTCGTCGGTAAACAGTTCTAGAAATTGAGAAGCATGTCTCAAGCAAGTCTAGACTCGAATACCTGGTACCTCCTCTCAGACGCTAGAGTTACCAACGTCACAGGTCCTATTATAGGATGCTTGCAACAGACCTCCGAAGGCCTACGAACTTACTCATGCGACGATAAAGAGACTATGGCATGGCAATTCCAACCGGCAAACTCCACTAAAGGCCGATATCTCATTCGATCAAACGCAACCGGTGTGAGACTCCAACTATCAGCCTGCTGGGACCCGGCAGAAACGGCGAATGGACACACGGCAGTTTGCATGAGGAGAACGACCTCAGAAGACTCACAGATGTGGGATATACTCGACTGGGGCGATGGCACTTTTGACCTCTTCAACGCTGCGAATGGCTCCAGCTACATTGTTGACCGCCATGCGGGCAGCGGCGTGTTCATGTCGGACCAGATTGCGGGATCAACCGGTAGCAACTCGGTTGATGTCCCTGGACAGCGCTGGATTATTCGAGGTGATCGAGCGGTGAATGATCCCGCATATTCGACAGTGTTCAGCGTAAGATCTTCTGATGTATCCCAGGTGCCTTTTGTTCATCACAGAGACTAATTGTTCGGGTCTTCGTTTGGATCTTCAGGAAGAGCCCAGTTCAAAATTTACCACAGCATCTCTTCCTAACACAGAGAGGGGATCATCCAGAGGCTTATCTTCGGAGATCATCGCTGGGATCACAGTTGGTATGGCTTTGGGAGTCATCTGCCTTATCGCTATGATGCTTTTTTTATCACGTCGACGGAAACTGAATCATGGTGCCAGGCTTTCTGGCAATCATCAGCAGAAGTTCATATTCAGTTGTTATGATAAGAGAAGGCCTGTTACTGACCAGCATGCTATTGAGAGTGGTGTTCATCAGGCAACAAATGTACAGGAGATGAGTAGCAGTGTCCAGGTGGCTTGAACTACATTGGTACTTGTCCACTCGAGTACATAAAAAGCAAGTAATTGATTAGTCGGTGGGAGGTGGAAGGCTAGTCAAGCCTTGCTGCTGTTAATTTGGGCGGGCTGAACCCCGTGGCTTCACATGAAAATCCTCTTCATCAATAGCCTGAGCATGCGCTCCGCGCGTCCCCTCTTCCCCCCCACAGATTACAATCCGACTTATCATTGCACGAAACAGAGGTGCTCTCAATGTTTGTCAAGACTGATAGAAGTGGAAAGCATCATGGTAATCATTGCATGTGCCCAACGAGAAGGTGAAGCAAGGGTATCACTGGTGCCTGAGTAGTAATGATAAACAATCTGCCTTACCAACGGTCCAACGATGATCACATCCCAAAAGTCTCTCAGCACGCCTTCGGCTGGGACCTTCAATGTGTGGGAGGCATCTATTTCTGGAATCACAGGAAGTGTCACGCTACAACACTTCGAATCTCTTCAGCATCCATCCTTATCAGTCAAAATCTCATTCGACTTCACGAAAACCGATTCCAGAGTCGGCCATACTCAGCCTGCTCTCCGAACTTGAGCTGCTGACCATGGTAGGATCAATCTGGGGGCTGAGCTTGCAGCATTTATCGTCCATTGTAGCATTCGTTTAGCGCAACCATTCCAATATTGACAAGGCGACCTATAACGTGCAGCAACGAAATGCTCCAGATGTATCGACTATCGTTCAGCCCCCATTGCCGCGCCTTAGACTTCGCCGCTTTCAGAAGCTCAGAACCATGTAAAGTAAGGCGGCCTAGGATGGACCGTACCTAGAACTTGACCATTGTACGCGATTGAGGAAATATTATAAAATCTGGAAGCCCATTCGCAGGTGAGAGTGTCTATTGAGCCTCCCTGCATTTGATAAACTGAAATCGGCGACAGTTTCTGCCAATTTACCCAAGTCATTTGGCGTCGCAACAATGAGCTGGGATGACTATACATCTTACTACGGGGGATACGGTGCCTTCACGCCTGGAGTGAAGAGTACTGCGAAATTCGCCAATACTCCCGCAGCTCCCACCAAGTTGACGACATCATCGACTTACACGACAAGTGTTTAACTAACTCGTCCCACAATAAAGGGAGGGTCCATCTCGTCAGAGAAATCAACATGTACTGCTACAGCAAGCATCCTTACGTCGAATACTGCTGCGGCAAGGTCTCCTACGTCAAGAATTTCCTCTGCCGAACCAGCCCACACCAACGCCCCTGCAAGATTTGCTCAGATGGTTGATCATTTGGATCCCATGCTGTATGGAGTGACGGAAGAACAACTACTCAAAACTCCATTTGGCGACATTTGTCCGTCAGGAAACTGTGTCGACGACTGCCAGAATATGACTCGAGTATTCCAGGCAATCCCTCAAGGCCTCCACGTAGATCCGCTACGCTACGGACGAATGGAGGCACAAAAGGCAAACGTAACCCTGTTCAGTACTTGTAGTAATCTTGAGTTCTCTACAAATTTTGCTACTGCAGAAGAGAATGACAACTTCACATCCTACTTTTCGACAAACGATTCTACAGACCTTTTCAAAGTGGCCGCAAGCATAGCAAGCTGCTTCGCTGCAACTTGCGAACAAACGCGAAAACCTACTCTTTGTGCCGACGCATGCTCCCCAGCTGAGTTATTGTCATCTCCGACGACATTCGATTACATGTTAGGTCTCCCGAACTGTGTAGTCAGGCTTTGCGACAATACCTGCTCGTTACCTTATGTGGACCCTGACGTCTTGGGCATTGGTGTGAGTTCCTCTCCCGGCATCGGCAGTAGGCTTAAGGACTTGATATATTGATCTGTTGATTCATTAGGTTCTTGTCTCGTACTACATTCAAGCACTACTTCTCGTTATCTGTGCTACGGCCATTATGGTATCGACTGCATTCCAATTGTGGAAAGTATCACAGGCTCAACCGACTGTCAGAGAAAGTCTGAGAAACCCGTTGGAGACATTTGTGAGAGTTCAAGCTCTGTTTGGCAGTACGTACCTACCCAGCTTGGTCCCTTGAATGTTATCTTTGTCATTATCCATTGTCTATTGCAAGTGATCAACTGACTGATTGTTCTAGTTTCTTTGGCTATCGCAACACTTATCATGCGGCCTGATGAGATCGACCCATTGAACGGATATGCCCTAATCTTGACAGCTATCATGGGTTTCCTCCCACCAGTTTTCACCCTTATGTTGCTTCATAGCCACGGAGTACGATCGCGTTTCTCGACCGCATTGGTATGTGCAAGCTATTTGCTCAACACCGTGACCTTTTTCGTACTCGTTCGGAACCTCTCGATTTCTACACATGACAGGCTCTTTTTGGATAAAGCCATAGACAGCCTCTTCAGTGCCGAAGCATGTGGCGGTGGCTCGGCTATATCACTTTGCTACCAGCTGACTGGTACGGACCCCGTCGGTTTCCTCTCCGGCTTTTACGACAACAGTTCGTTCGCAAATATCAAGACTGTACCACTTCTATGGATATGGACAACGCTGGTGCTACTCGTGTTGATCACCAGACACCTTGTGGCTACCACACAAAAGAGAAGCGACGCAGTGGGTCAGTTACCGTCTGCCAAGCCCCAAGGTCTTCATCGGAGCAAGCGACCTTCCGGATTTCATGCATTCTTGAGTAAACCGCTGTTCACATGTTTTATACTATCTTTGGCGATAATTCTATTCTTCTTGTGCCTTCTGTATCAATACCTGTTGGTAAAAGCTAATGCTCTGATGGATGTGATTGATCAGAAAGGTTGGTCCTTTGGACAAGTCGTAGCCTTGTTGTTCTGGGTGCCACCATTCCTTGATATTCTCCGGTCAATGTATGAGAAGGAAAAGTATGAAAAGGTTCAGAATGCGCATGAAAGCCAGAGCTAGTGGAAAGATCAGGTCAAAGCACTCTTCAATTTAGTACGCTGAAATTCCATCTGCATTTTTAAGAGTGATGGAGCTTGTAGCTCAAATTCAATCAAATTTTGTGGACAACCTTTGCGTACAAGTTTAATCGTGGAAAATCTTTCACCTTCAAAAGACAACAACTGCTCAAATATCTTCAGCCGTCTAGTCCAACTCCTTGCCAATCTTGTCAAACTCCTGACGCCACTCAGCGACCTTCTCGACCTTCTTGAAGGGGTCAAGGTTCATGGCCTCGCTGTCCACGTACACGCTCTCCCCAAGAGTGAGTTCGCCTCGCCCAACGAAATTGCCCAGTTCAAAGCTCGCATACTTGGAGCTGGCATTAGAACGGCCACCGTCTTCCCAAACTCCAACCTTGAAGGTCGCACCCGGCCGGAAGAAAAGGTTGGACCCTTTGGCGGCGCCACTCCGCGTTCCACTGTTGACAATCTTTGCCGAAGTGTGAGGCTTGTTGGACTCATCCTCTTTGTGAATCTGGGAAGCGTTGTTTCCGTTGCCGCCACTTGGTTTGCTGTTGCTCGAGGTTACCTTCCCGCCGCCGTTGTTGCTCCCGTTCCCGTTGCCACAATCGCGGCAGTCGGCATCCTTCGCGGAACCGTACCCTTGAGATCCGTAGCCCTGAGAGCCATAGCCTTGGGAACCATACCCTTTGGGCTGGAAACTGTTGTCCTTGGTTGACACTGAGAAAGACATGCCAGGAACACCAATCTTGAAGCCTTCTTTGGAAGAAGTGGTCTTATCGTTCTGAGGCTCGGGGTTCTTTTCACCTTCTTTGGCAGTGTTCCCACGATAGAAACCGTCTTGGGGAATGATGGCAGCATTCTTGCTACCAATTTCAATGTTCGACGGGAATGGCTGCATAGGCGCCTCGCGAACATCCTCAATGAGAAGGACCAAATGTTTCTTCCAGATCGAGTCGTCCACCTTCTTGTAGAAGTTGAGCTTGCAGCGGCCCGCGGAAAGTTGCGTGTTCGGCGCACGAGTAATGACGTGATCAATGTTGGCTTCGTTTGCTGTATGAACTTGGTAAGCCGAATGTCAGAGGTAAGACTAGCAGCATGAATGCACTTACGAGTTCCGTAGAGGTAGAATGGCATGAAAGTATCCGGGTACTTATCGAGGCGATACTTAGAGTTCAATGGGCGGCTAACAACGGTCTTCCCCAACTGAACACAAACGTCTTGGAGGATGATGCCGCTAAAATCGTTAGTGGGATCCATACCTAACACATAACGGGCCACGAATTGACATGCTACTTACGACTCTTTTGTCATAATCTGACCATCGAAGTGGCCCTTCTGCTCAATGACATCCTTGGCCATGACCTTGCGCTGAGTCACGAGCAGCATCGGCTCGGTAGGGTTCGACTTCTTCAAAGCAATGTACTTGGCCTTCGACTTCTCGTCAAAGCTCGCGTTGACTATGAGTTGTTGTCGATGGTTCGCCACATGGAACATAGGCAGGTGGATCAGGAAGATCTCCTCTGTGCCCTGAATGAGGAAGCTGTGGAAATCCGGCGCCGGTGTGTTGCGCTTGCGGACGATCTGCAGATGCAGGTCAGCTACTGACACAAAATGATAGACTTTCAAGAACAAACCTCAGTCTCCTTCGCGACGACATCATAGAAGATGTCGGCGAGTTGATTTGTGAAGTTGCCGTCAGTAGGGAATGGGGACATGACGACGTTTCGCAACACCATCAAGTCTTGTGAACTCTGCTCTAGGCCGAGCCGCTTGACATAGTTTGCCTTACACTCTCCGTACAGTTCGTCTGAGAATTCGGTGGAAGTCAAGAAGAGAGGAATTTTGGTAGGATCGTCGTCTGGGCTGTCAACAGAAAGGGCCTCAATGACTCTCTGCATGAGATAGTTGGCCTCTTCGATATCATCGTTCAAGCGTCCGTCTTCGTAGCGGAAGTTCAGCGCGAAGGCGTTGATGTTGAGGTCTGAACCCAGACTTCTCAGGAGTTTCATGACCTTTTCGTCGTCCGGTCTGGCTTCGTCTTCGGCAATAATGGAAGCGTTCGTCTTTTTGACAATCTCATCCCTGATACGCTTCTTCTCGGCCTCGATCTTCTCCTCGGTTGCATTCGGCTCAAGCTCAGATGGGAGCATGTTGAAAGGCACACAGACGAAAGGACTTTCGGAGTCTGTCAACGCTGCCCACTCTGCTGACAGCTTCATTGAGTGTGTTAGTATGGAACATGAAAAGACAGCACAACCAATCCTGAGAATGATGGAGAAAGTGACTGAGACATACCCTGCTGCAAGTCCAAGTAACCTCTCCAAGTAAGGCACCATAGCCTTCGGCATCAAGACCAATTGTCCTATTTGACAACCACGTCGAAACTGCAGAGGCACCGGGTTTACTGCAGTGAATATGCATAGTGAGTTTCTTCTCCATTACTGATAGATCTCTTCCAATAGGTAGACTGACCTTCCTTCGACACCGTAGATGCCAATGCTGGTGACCGAGCCTCGCGATAAGTAAGGACTCGTCCAGGTGACCAAGAACCGCATACGATTGTCACGGTAGCAAAGGCCACCAGCGGGATAAGGGATGTAGCCTGCTTTGTGGGGGTCAACAGTAATGGAGTCGGCAAAGCGCATGGCGAACAAATCATCCTGAGTCTGGGCACGAAGTGTCGCATCCGGCACAAAGCCATCGGCCGCACCCATGTCAGTGGGAAGATTCATGACATCTCCTGGCCGATAGTCCTTTGGCAACATGGAGCAGAAATATCCACCTGAAATGAAGTTAGCGCATTCAGTTGCAAACGGAGTCGATTCTCAAAGGCTCGGAACACTTACCCCAGGCAGCGTCGGCATGAACAACAAAAGATAATCCTTTCGCTTGGAATTGCTTGCGCAGGGCTAGAACACCGCTGAGAGAGTCCACGGCACCCTCTTTGAAAGTAAGGTCAGATTTTTATTCAACTCAGTGCGTTCCGTTGGCTCTCTCTTACCTTCCGTGGAACCTATGATAGCAACCACCGCATAAACGGGCTGTCCTTTGTCAAGATTCTCCTGCAATTTCTTCTCCAACGCGCCCAAATCCAGGCGAGCTCCTGCATCAACTGGAATGCCGATGACGTTATCGGAGCCCAAGCCGCTAATTGCTAGATTATTTGAATGCGATCAGTCTCCAATCAGTACATTGAAAGAAAGGCAATTACTTACCGGCACCCTTGGGCCAAGAGTAGTGCCTGGTATTCGACAACATGTATTGGCCTGGTAGTTCAAGCCCGAACTCTCGCTCCAACTCATCCTTTCCAGTGGACTGGATGGTGAACTTCTTCATTATATCTGAAAGGAATGCATTGGAAACCCCGTGCTCCTGATATAGTCGATCAGGTAGATCAAGAATGTCGGATGGCTTCAAGTTGAGCAGATCCCAGGTCGATAGATTAGTGAATAACTTTGTTTCACCCTTGCAAGTCTCAACTTTGAAAGCCTCCGACAGGAAGTTGAGTGCCTCGCCATTCCCAAAGGCCTTGCGAAGCGATAGGGGATAGAACTTCAGGTTTCGAGCTGGGAAGGTATGAGTAACCGATATTGTAAGGCGATAGTTGATACATACCGACCCTAGAAATCAGTCGTTAGCGTCTGACAGTGTTGCAGAGACTGAAGGACCTCACCACATGGATTCCAGATTGGCAACGGTGCCGTCACAAGTCACATGGCCCCAGGAAGTAGGCGATTCGGTGTTGTCCTCCTTAATGTTGTAACCAAAGAGATCGCACAGCTGCTCGCCCACTTCAATCTCTGCCAAGGTCGACAGTGGACTTGCTTCGAACGCGACGTTATTTGGATTGTAGAGCATCGTCATGAAGTATCCCAGCATTGAAGGCATGGTCAGGTCAGTGCACCTAAGTCAATCAGTTCAAGCATGGCACACTAAGAAGAGGCTAAGCGAAAAGTACTGACATATGAGCTTCATAACGAGGGGACCAGAATGGTATGCTTGACTTGCCCAGGATGTTGGAGGCCTTCCGAACGGCATTCTGGAGCTTGTCCATGGAATTGCGGAAAGCAGGCGTGTTCTGTGTCTTCTCATCGATGAAATTCTGCTTTCATATCAGCATCATGAACTTTTGTACTTATCAAGCAGTTGAGTATCTTGGTAACGTACTCCATCTTCAGGGTAGTAACTCTTTCGCGCACTCTCAAGTTCATCTAAAATGATGTTGATGTTCTTCTTGAAGTATGGAAGGTTCTCGGCTTGTGGCCCAATGAAGTACGACGAGATGATCTGATGAGACTCATCCTCGTAGGTGGCCGTGGTATTGTACGCCGTATTCTTGGAAGTCATGATGGGAGAAGAAGTAATGTGGTGGTCGTTGAGTTTCAGCGGTAAGCTGGGCAAGGTTATTCACAACTGAAAGCGAAAGGAGAAGCCTTATAAATACATGTACAACTCGATCTAAGAATTCTCCAGTTGCCGCCTTCTGAATCTCGTTGAAACTTCTTTCGACCCTTTTGCGGTTGAGCCAATGGGTAGATGGCACTGCATTTCGCAGTTTCGTGATGACGAAACGATATTATGCAGGCTGGCGATCAACGACCGCTTCCGCCTTCTAGGACCTTCATGTATTCACCCATATTCATGCAAGGTCTTCATCGAATGACTTGACCGGTCAGGCCTTGCATCTCGTATGATGCCAGTTTCAATGACCCCTCACGGGAATGCCTTCCACATACTCACCGGTGTCATCCTAGCGAGATTCCGATCAACTGGAAATTGCCTTTCCGTGAACGAAGCCAACGAATTACTGTGTGAAATATCGAAGATGTTTGATTCTCATGCATACCGTGCTGCCGTAGAAGGTTAGATCCGGGCGGGCTTTGCTCGAACTCGCAGCGGGAGCATGCGTGTCTCACATAGCCGCCGCCTATCATGGAAGAGACAGGCGACGACGGCAACCCGCTGTATGAGTGAACAATTGCACGACACTGACATGAGCCACTGTATCACTGCCATATTTCCGTGATGAGGAGAATAGGAAGAGATTGTTAATGTACCTTACTTACCTTAGACTGAAAAGGGTGGGCGGACACCCAATATCGAATACCATTAGCCAAACCTTTATTTTGAGCTCAAAACAGACCAATATACACGACGAATGAGGAAGCCCTAATGTCTCCGGAATGGCCGGCACACTAGACCTGGCGAGGGGTGAGAAACGAAGAGACTTTGTTGACTGTACTACTCAGAAGCTAACAAATTCCCAGGGAGTCTTGATAGGTCTGGTCCGATCAGGTATGATCCGGAACTATCACCGTCGGCCCGGGGAGATCGCTCCTAGAGTAGCACTGGGCACACAAACTGTTCGGCTACACCCGCGCACGTTAGACTAGATCGAGGTGGTTGCAGCAGAGGAGGGGTTCCAGGCTTGGCATGTCGACTTTCATCGAGCTTGAGCCTCTCGAATGGAGTTGTACGATTCTGAGACAGCGTAACAGGCCCAGTAGGTATTCCGACGGAAACCGACTGAGCTGCACAAGTGAGGGGTTTGTGATTCACCGGTCGTTTTGCCAATCATGCATCTCATGTATGCACGACTCGTGACGTGGATATCGACCATTGTGCGGGGCAACAATACCAATTAGGTGTCGTGATGATCTCATTCCAGCAATTTGAACTTCGAATGCTTGCTCGCTTACACGGCTCCTTTGGTACCTGAACGCACATCAGACTGGTTCAGAAAGCGGACATCGGTATGGTACTTATGTGATAAGTAAATCAGACTATTATTTTGGCTCTGTTTATAGGACAGAAGCTATGTACAAAACATCTCTTCGACTCGATGGCTCAGGTGTAGATTATGGTTGCGAACTCTAGCCCTCCGAAGAGCACATTTAATTCCAATCAAGGTATTCTTAGTTTGCAGACAGGAGGGCTTTCCACGCATCAATGACTGAACGGTTGGGCGCGGCTATTTCGATGACTTCTTTGCTTGTGGTCGACGCCGGGCATTTGCCTTCCCACAGCGTGACTGGAGCAGCTTTGATCGAGGATATCACGTTCTTGGACTCTTTTGTTGCCAATACCATAGCGTCCACAAGAGACACATCCCTGTACTCGACGTTGTCCACGGGCTCACCAATTGCCTCCTCCATCACTGAACAATGTCTCGACCAGTCACATCCGTAGGCCCATTCAGAACATACTTTGCTCCATTATGCCGAGAAGGATCTTGTTTCCACAGCAAATGAGCAGCAAAAGTACCAATGTCGTCAGGGTCTATTGCGCCTACGGGTGCGTCCTTGTCGGCGATGAGCTTCAGAATTCCCTGCTTCTTCGTTTGACGGTATTCTTTGACAAACTCAACCGCACTGTAAAGATGTGCCGAGAAGAAAATGTTTGGCTGTAAGGACGTCCACTTGAGTTCTCTGAATTCTGGCGAACTCAACATGGTCTCAATAGCCCAATGAGTCCGCGGGTAGTAAGCCTCGAAGTCTGGACGGACGTTGGCAGCCGTTGTGGAGATGCGCACAACGTACTGTACGCCGGCCATCAGTGCGGCCTGGTGGAAGGTCGATTCCTCGGCGAATTGGCTCGGACCGTTGTGTGATGCGATGAAAGCCTTGATGACGTTCTGTTCGCGCAGCCAAGAGGCATTGATATCGACCCAGTTCTTCTCGATCACTGTAACACTAGGGAGACTTGCAAGATGCTGGGCAGCCGACGAATCGATGGAACGCGTAAGAGCAAGGATGCGAGTGTCAGGCGAAACATCGCTATTACCCAGAAAACGGGAGAGAGTCTCGACGACACTTCGACCAGTGTTGCCCGTTGCGCCAGCGATGAGGATTGTAGGAGTCATGATGGTTGTAGATAAAACTTCGAAATATCGCGATCCTCGAAATTTGCCAGAAAAGAATTTGAGACAAACGCCTTGAATTGTCCTTTGAATCGATAATTGTACTTTTGTAATGCCACGACACATGTCAATCATTCTATGGCCTTTATATCTAACCTACCTGATGGCGAAGAGTCCTTGCGGAGATCTGCGCCGCTGCGGAGTTTGCGGACAACCCACCGGGACGTACACAAATCGCCCTTTATAGAAACCAGACTTTGTCACTAGTCCGCAATCAATTAGTAAGCTCTGCAACGTTATGTCGGCGTCGTGATGGCATCTTTCACCCCAGGCCACGCCTTTGATCGCGTAATTTCAATTATACAATTCCTAAAATCAACTCATTGGTGTTGTGGATAGGGCTGTCAGCAAGACTTTCGTCCCTACCCCCCATTCCCAGGAACACTGCATCTCTATTGCATATCTCGATGCCCATATTGTGACCACGAGACTATCCGCCAGAAGAGCAAGTACTTACTGTAATTTTCAGTTCTGCGAACAAAAATTCGGGTTTCTAGTACCGTAAGCTTAAGTTGATCAGTTCGACAAAAAATAGGACTAGCATCAGCACTCCACAAGAGGCCTGTTACGAGCGTTGCCACATGCTACTCACATAAGCTCCTTTGATAGATCCTTCTGTACTTCTCGCTCGCTTGGTTTCAAGAAGGAACACTCCCTTTCTATGCCCATTTTTGCATGCCATAAATTGTGAGATATCTGAACAAGTAAATGAGGCCGCAGGCGTTGCTGGGAAAGCTACCATGCAGTCTTCCTTTCCTTGAACGAATTGCATGTCTTGATCATATTATATGTTGCGCAGCATGGTGAAATGAATTGAGAATTTTTTTTTTGAAGTCACATTGCTCGCCTAGAGACGAAATCACATATTATTGTTTATATGTTCTGTTGGTTGATTGCGGCGCGCTGAGATGCTCCCGCATTTCCGCGTCTATTTCGCCTTTCCGGCGTGATGCTACAATAGCTTTGCCTGATCATTCCTGCTCTCAAAGGCTCTTCTAAAGGAAGCCGAAGCCGCATAAGTTTGGGCTCTGGTGGTCACCTGATGGCATCGTCCAGGTAGACGTTAGGGGGATCAACATGGCGGGGCTGGTAAACTTACAGCTGTAACGTCGAAATAGCTACGCCACGTTGTGCTACTTGCATCGCGCTCTCCGGTGGCCAATGAGTAGACCATGCTAATGCCCGAGGCAATAAGCTCACGCCGTTTTCTAATGAAAATACCCACTTGTTGTCTGCTTTAACGGACAGGGACAATGCGAGGCAAACAAACAAGCGTGCACGGTGCATCGCAATTGGTAGTCTTAAACTCAACCACGCAGGTTCCAACAGCTTGGTAACGATGCCACAAATCTGACCGTTCAATCTTTAATAGTGTAGTGCAGGATTAGGCGTTCGTTACTGCCCGCAATCAACTCGTCTCCGCAACGACTCTTTCCAAGGAGGTCGCAGATACACTACTCCGTACCGCGTACATAGACAGATCAATTACTGTAACTGGCCTGCCTGGCACCGCTGCTAGCTTCTTACGATTTCCATACAGCCGGCGGGATGGTTGCCGTAATAAGCTTTTTTCGGAAGCTTACACAAACTCTAATCGGTCCCGATTCCTTGCATGCCAGTTTCAACCTTCCTACGGCAACTTTCTCATGGGCAGCAAGGCAGACGTTGACACAGGCGCGAGACACTTCGGCCACAAACAAAAAGCGAAAATTAGTGTCGTCGCAAGGCCGATACACTAACAAGCAGCACTTCCAGGGGGTGGTTCATGATTCAAGGGTGCCTGCCAGGGGCACATCAAAAGCATGTTTCCCGACGAACCCAATCTGATGGGGAAACGAACTCAACCCTTAAGAATGTTCTCGTCCGTACCCTCCCCTCTCTGTCGCGTCCGTGGACGATCACTTCAACCTACGATACGGCAACCTTCCCTGGGGAGTTCGGGATCTCAACACTGTCAAACGTCCCCAAGTAGCTCATGATGAAGGACTCACAGGTTTCCCGCCTGCTCTTTGGCGTCGTGGCATTCGTCATCGCTGCGACGGCCGTCAATATTCCTCAACCTGTCGGACCAGCCCATCAGGAAATCCAGGGACCGATAGTATGGGCAGCTTGTCCCGGGGACATTCGACCTTTCAAAGGCAACAACGCCACATCGGCTCTCCAATGTACAAACTTCTCGGTCCCATTGAACTACAATGACCTTGGGGGTCCTCAAGTTCAGTTGGGGATAGTCAAACTCCCGGCACAAGGCAAGCGCATTGGCAATCTCTTCGTGAATCCCGGCGGGCCTGGAGGGGCAGCGTCGAGCATGGTCGCACGAATGGCTTCGAAAGGGATTTATATCAGCGACGCAGTACGCCAGTCATTCGACATCATTGGAATGGACCCAAGAGGCGTTGGCCTGAGTACACCGCAGAAGTGTGACACGAATCTGGCCAATCAACCAAGCGAGTTTGATGCGACTACGCCGGAGGGTTTCCAGAAGCTGTTCAACTACAACAAAGCTGTGGGTGAGTCTTGCCGGGCAATGACTGGTCCACTGTTCGACAACATGGACACAACATTCGTCGCCAAGGACATGGAGGCTGTCCGTGTGGGTAAGATCTATGGCCTACTTACTTGTCCTGGCTGGAGGAGCTGACAATAGACAGCTACTGGCGGAGAACCCATGAACTATTTCGGAGTGTCATATGGAACACAGCTTGGGGCTCAGTATGCTGCACTGTTCCCGAAGGCAATTCGTGCCATGGCGCTTGATGGGATGTTGCAGCACACTGGATCTTTCGCATCGAACATCATGACACAAGCCACGTCCTTGGACGCCACCATCCAGGCATTCTTTCGGTTCTGCGAAGCTAACGCGACTAATTGCGGAGAGGGAGGACAGGACATCCGACAGACATGGAACAAGATCCTCGAAGTCGCGGGCGCGGGGAACCTCAAGGCGACCGAATGCGATGGGACCATAAAAACCGGCTGCTTGCCTGTTGCCACACCAAACAACGTGATAGGCTCTGCACGGTCGACTCTGGAGTTCCCTCAAGACTGGAGAGCATTTGCCGAAATGCTTAAGCTCGGGGCCACCGGGAATGGCTCCTTCTTTACTCCAGGCCTACTATCTGGCGACATTTTTACCGACTCTCGCTCTTTATCCATCACAAACGTGCAGTGCCAGGACGGACATTTCTTCGCTGCCAAGGATCATGTCGAAGTACAGCGAGTGGCTGATATGACCCGGACTTTCACGACTACACCAGGCATGGGAGAGTTTTGGCATCGGGTGATTGACTGCACCGGGTACCCGGTCAAGATCACGAATCCTCGGACGGCGTTGAATATTAAGGACACGCCGCCCATCTTGCTCGTACATTCGAGATTTGATCCGGCGACGAGCCTGGTGTATGCGGCTGGTATGATGGAGGAGTTTCAAAACGCTACTTTACTTCTCAGAGAAGGATCTGGGCATACAAGCTATCTGCTGAAGGGTGATGCCTCACGCGTTGTAGACGACTATTTGATCAATCTCAAGATGCCGGCGCCTGGTACGGTGGTTTCGAGTTAGCTGAGCTGAGTAAAGGGGTAACTAGAAAGTAAATCAAGTTCGACTTAAAAGAAAAACACTAGTTCCGTCGTGATTTCTTTCGTTGTCAACAAATTTGTTACGCAACTGTAAGAACCTTCTTCCAAGTTTCGATTCATGCGCGAGATTGCCTCTACCCTTCATGGAGCATGAACTCTTCGTGCTACAAGAACTGTCATCTCGGCTGAATACTTTATACTGTTGTAGAAGGGGATGTCATTACCTCAATATTCTCGTGTATCAAGAAGCGCGTGATATGTGGGGCCATGTCAATAACTTTCTTGGCTGGGGAGCAGACTACCGCAATCTGCATCAGATGAACTTCGAGCCAGGCATCACCTCAACTCACTATAGACCCTCATGGGTAACAGAATTCTCGGAGACTTGAGATCATCAGGACGGGCTCATTGTGAAAGGTTCTCGTCTCCAAAGCTCTAGCAGCCTTCGAGATATTAAAAGTAATCGAAGTCGAGGGGAAACAACTAGATCTTGATTGCTTCCTTGTGGATAAGATTCGGGTTGTCGCGCGTCGTTACAGTTGATTAGAGCTAAGTCATGAGGAGTTGAGCAAGTCACAAAAGGACAAAAAGGGCACGACCTGGATCCGAACCAGGGACTCATGCAACCACCCTGCATCGCTCTGGCCTACGAGCGCTCGTACCTATGGATATCTTCGGAACACGTGCAAGAGGAATAGACCATATACTTTCTGCGAGGTATGAGAAGACTCTGTGAGTCACCCATAAAGGACAGACTGATACCTTGGAAGACCGTCTTGACTATCAGGGTTCGCACATCGGCGTGGCACACCTCACTACCTATACGGAAGAGAATGATGTTTTATTACCAAGGCCTATGGAGTAGCGAAAAATTTCTCAACTAGATTGCCCCGCTTGCATAGTTTTTGTCTTCGAGTCTCGTGAGAAATGCCAGCATCGTTACACCTATGGTGGCCAGAGTCTCCTAGAATTTTGGTAGGTTCATCACGAGGGAAGCCAAGCTTTTGCTTCTTACAGCCATAGAAGTAAGTAAGGATAGGCTTGTCGAACGATGCAACACACCAAGAGATCCTAGTCTCTCATCCTTCCTGTTCCTGCGGACTCAAACGATTGATATTGTCAACATGTGGTCGCTGATGTACAGCGCACATCTGTTTGATACAATCAATAAGCTAATGGCAATAACTGCCAAATAAAGCAGGTAAATACGTTGTAATATTAATATCAACATAGTCTCAAGTACATAATATACAGAGTATCGTTCAAAGCAGATAGCAAATAGGAAAGGCCTCGCAGCTGATATCCTTCACCGTCATATCGAATTCTTCGACGCCATCACCGCCATATAAACAAGTCCCGCATCTGTCTCGTCCAACTTATACATCAAGCTTCACTGATAGGAGGAGCTTGAAGAATCCATTCTCCGATAATCTTGATGGTCTTTTGCGTCTTGATTTTGGCATCCTCAAGCAAAACCGGATCACGTACAATACCGTCCAGGTGCTGATCAAACCCATGGACCGTATCAGGAACCAGAAGCCACCGGTAGCGGCTTCCGTCAGCTCCAGACACCTCGAAGTGGTAAACTTCGTCGTCTAGCACGAGCTCGCCATCACCGACGACTTCAGGCTTCCCAACCTTTGCTGGTGGGGGCGGACGGCCCGCAAGCCTGTGAATGAGCCTCTGGCCTTCCTGGGCAAGCATATCCAGCTCGCAGCCGATCATAAAGACTTGCTTGGGCAGAGCCTCCTTGGGCGCGAAAGTAGGACTGAGTAGCGGGTTGCGGCTGTCTTCGCCGGGAATCTTGTAAGCCCAGTCAAACACGGGTGCAATCCCTTGCAAGAAGTCCTTCTCCTTTGCACGGAAGCCTCCGAGCTCAGGCTTGTACTGTCGCGTCGGGGCCTTCTCTTCTCCCGTGATGGAGAGATCAGCCGCCGGGTACAACGGGACGATGCAAGTGAGATGCTTCCTGACTGTCTCGAGTTGCGCTACAGCCAGGGTCAGGTTGCCGCCCGCAGACCAGCCGGCCAGCGATACTCTGGTACGATCCAACGGAAGCGAGTCATCATTGAGCGCGGCGAGGAAGAGCTCCTCGCAATCATGAATCGGCTTGGGGAACGGGTTACCCGGAGCTTTGGCGTAGTTGAGACCAATGACAATTGAGTGGTGCTGCGAAGCATACGTCTGATTCCAATCGTCGTTGTCATTTGGCGTACCGAGCACGAATCCACCCCCATGGATCGTGAAGAGAACCGGCAGCTTGTCTTTGGACGTTTTGTCAAAGCATTTCGGGAAGAAGACCCTGGAACGTGTCAATCTCTACGCCAAAGGCGATGAGGTTTCTCAAAAATTGGGGCGAAATAAAGAAACGCACCTGACGGGTAAGTACGGCCTGCATTCGTACGTCTTCACGATCTCTGGACGGTTCTCAGGCGGGATGACATGTGCTTTGACATCGCGAACGAAGAGCGCGGGCTTCACCAAGAGATTTTGAATCGCAAAGGCCGTAGCGCCGTACCTGACCTTGGAGAGGAGCGGCAGCTCTGGGACGCGATGTGAGTCGTCCGTGGTATTCTGATCTTCGGCCATCGTTGAAGCCAGGCGCGCGGCGACGGGTTGAGTTGAGTTGAGTTGCTTTGGGTGCTCGAGTGTTGCAGCGGATGTTGCGTTGGAAGAAACAGGCGGGGTTGGGATGAGAAGCGTCGCTGGCTGGTGGGAACGGCTCGGTAGTTGTAGTCGCATGCACCTCGGTTTCGCGTTTAGAGGGCCATAGCGAGGTGCAAGCCGAGTACGAAACAAGATACGAAACCTTGTACCACGGTCAACATGATCGGATAATGGGTGCTTAGAGACGTCATGTCTCTAGTTGGTAATGGTGCATAAAATGTAAGCATGTTCCTCAAGTTTGAATTGAGGCGCAATTTGCAGTCAAATCTCATAACGCCTTCAATTGCTGACGGCATCACAAAGCGTCGGGGACATGTGAATAAGTGCCGGCCTTAGTAGCCGAACCCGCACCGCCGGCGGGTCTCCACTTTAGACCGGTAACTCGGGAAGCTTCATGAGAGCGACAACAGCACAGTCCTCGACTTATCATGCATTGCCACAACGCACAAACCGTCCAGCATTCAATTTCCAAACAAGTGACACCTCGAACACCCAAAGTCATGATGGCGCAGCTGCGCTCATTCGAACAGCAACTGCATTTTGTGGCAAACCCCTGAAGATTGCAGCATGTCCATCGCCACGAAACAGCAAAAAGAAAAGTAGAATGAGGCAAAAAGTGAGCTTAGGGGCGCTACTATCATGAAGATGGAACCATCTGGAACTTAAGGCCCGTGATCAAACAGTGAAAATAACCTAGGTGCGGCTGATTGACATACGCACTTTACGCCTCCTTAGGTGAAGTCTAACTTAGTGACAACTTAGCCATCTCAGATCTCTGTGATACCTCAGTAGGTACGCTGGTAGATGGCCTAACAAATTAGTACACTTCTAGCTACTGTAATGCTTGTTTTCCTGAGATTCAGAGGTTGTGTTGTGAGTTTGATCTTACAGACCATGGAAGACATGAAACGTGCTGCGTGCAATAGTTTCGGCATTTTAACACCTCAGCCGGAAATAAGAAAGTCCAATAGAAAATTTAGAAATATTTTCATGTTCCGATCTTGCAAGAGGAAATACGGTCTTGTTGGCTCTTTCCCTTTGACGAACGCAAATATTGAGTTGGTCGAACCTCAGGTGTCAAATTCCCAGGCTTCTACCGGGATTTCTCAGTGACCGACTCTTTCTGTTATTCTTCCGGTGCTTATCCCTTCAACAACAGCTCTTTCTTTCATTACATGCAGCTTTGCATCTGACTCATCTTGAGTTTTCTGTGTTCAGAGGCTGCCGAGGGCTGTCAACGAGGTCGGCAAATTCACGCCAGATCCCTGGAACACAGTGGTCCCTTTACCACACCGTCAGCAACATTCTGAGAGACCACCAGAATTTCTCTCACACTTTAGGGAACACAGTGGTCACCATGGTTCGACCTATGCTTGACATGAGAAAGTAAGTGATCTTATCAATTGCCGTAAAGGGTATGGCCACTGATTGTCTGCATACAGAATTCTCAATTCGCCGCAAATCGAATATCATGTCGGCAAAAGCGGCAAGTCATTCTCGGTTCCCAAAGCTGTGATGGAATTCCTCTCTCCAAAGCTTGTGCGTATGCCGCCTTCTGGACAAGGACAGCCCAATTCCGCTTCAATCACTCTGAGAGATATCGACGAGGCTACATTCACTCGACTGGTGGAGTACGCATATCGCCAAGACTACACGGTCCAAGGTCTCAAAGTCCGCTCCTTTGCCTCCGACGAAGTCAGCGTTTTGCCTTCACTCTATGATAAGCTCGAGCGGGGAGATGAGTATTCAGAGAGCAACCCCTTCATCCACGATTCTGGCATGGATTTCCTTCGCGAACTCAAGGGTAGCTACATAATGCTCGACAAATCGATTCACAAAGAAGCTCTCGAGGCAAAGAAACTCCCTGGCCGCTATGTTCGCTTTGACACCCTCAACGCCCACATCGCCCTTTTGAACGTGGCGTACACATACGATATCCATCCTTTGAAGGATCTCTGCAAAGCGCACTTCCGCGAGTGTCTGCTTTTCATGCCTCTCAATAGGTACACCGTGGCTGATCTGCTCACTGTCTGGGATACTGTTGAGCACATCGCTGACTGCGCTCCCGGCAATGCGATTTGCAACATTATCCTGAATTACTTCGTCGCCACTCTCCCCACTTCGAGACATCATCCGAGATTTCGGGATACACTCGTGCAGGACGAAGCCTTCACCCGCCAACTGCTCGACAAGTTGCCGAATGTAGTTCCTCCAATTGACGACTAAGGGTCATGTGTGTTACAGACTGGAGTCTATGGGGAAAGCTTTGGGACAGCGGGAAATTGTCTTCATCGCGGAGAGGGCTCGACGGATTATTAAGGCTTTTGCTTCGGAGTTTGAGTCGTGGATGACGTCCATAGGGAAATCAAAAAGACAACGAGGTCACGAAATTATTGTCCGGAATCGTGATGCCGGTTCGTTAACATTTTCCTTTCGGGCCCATCATTTCATTTTGCATCCCTTCGTAGCCTCGGTCCGTGATGTTCTTTGACAGATTGCCTAGTATACGACAATACCAGGAAAGAAGGCACCTCATACCACTCGAAGCCTATATCCGGCGCAAAGCAGCCGACACCGGTATCTCTGGCCGATATCTTCGCCATGTAAGGCAATGCCAAGGAGGTCACCGCAAATCATCAGTGATAAGAAATGGCACTAGCACATATCCATGTCAACGGGGGTGGGGTTACTGCGGGGTTGCTCATGGTGATAGCTTCAATGTCCGGCGCGATGTGATCCATGGTTCCGAAACGTCGGGATGATACCGCGTGGCTCTCCACTTTTCCCCGACCACCCTTATCTTTTGAGGGAATTCGCCGACAATGGCACTTTCAAGACTTATGAACGGTGTCGCTATAAAAAGGTGCTGAGCATGTGGGAGTTGATCAGCTTTGCCATCTCATTCCTTGTTGGGCCGCTATCACCTGTCATACTACAAGATGCTCATCTCACAAGTACTATTGGCGCTGGGTGGAGTGAGTTTTGGCTCGGCGCATTTCATAGTTCCCAACGATGACCAGGATATGTCCGGTCTCACGGTCAACTCGATCCCAGCAGCGAAACGAGTCGAGTACATGCAAAAGGTTGAACCGTCTGGGCGCTAGGTTCTTGTCATATGCCGCCGTCCGTTTGCTAATGTTTTCCAGGCGAACGAGGCGCTCTTCCGGCAAAGCGGACCGTAAGTGTCTATTTTCCATGTCGGTTTCAAGTACAGTCCTAGATCTGACTTACATCCTCTCAGTTGCCCCTTTGCCGCATTTGGAACCATCATCGTCAACCACACCAGCGACGAAGTTGTCTGCGAGGGAGCAAATTTCCGAACTGGCGACCCTACTAGTACGTATTGAGAACTATGGTAATTGTAGCTACGACCTACTAAGAAAACTTCCAGTTCACGGAGAGATCTCAGCCATCAACGCATGCACAGCCAAGTTTGCTGAACAGGGCATGACGCCAACGTAAGGCCTGCAATTGACTGTTCATGAACAAGAGCTCACATTTTCGACAGGCAGATCTATGCCGCATGGGGAGAGCTATCAATCTACACGAACGCCGAGTCGTGTCCAATGGTATGTGCTTCAAGTTACCAGGAAGCTGGCATCATCGGTAACTAAAAGGTTCCAGTGCGCGAGTGCAATCCGGTGGGCGGGTTTCAAAGGCAAGTTGACCCCCCATGACTGTTATTCCCGCCGAAAACTAACACCGACTTGTCAGAATACGTTTATGGGACCACCATCCAACACAACTACAACGTCGGCTGGGGTGTCATGACTCTCAGCAGTGTAAGAGCCCCTGGAACAGAAACATATTAGGGGCATTCTTGCTAAACCGACTCATCCAGTACGACGTTTTCCAGCAATCTCGCCAGCTGCCTGGCTGTCAAACGTCCATGATCGGACAGATCCTCACAAACGAGACGGACCCTCTCTTCTCATGGCAGTACAACGCAAGCGCGCCTTGTCCGAACGATTGTTTTCGTGTCCCAAGCGCGACTCGAGGCGGAACGACCTGCTCCAATGTTACTATCTCCCGAAGGGACTATGAGGGGCTGTAGATAGGCAGCGGCTTAAGGACTACAAATAGAGACTCGGAACTTTCATTGGCGATCCGACCTCAGCCACGCTAACAATGATTTCGGTGTCATGGAATCACTGAAATATGGCTCATCAAGTGGGTGGAGAAAAGAATTGTCACTGCTGTTCCTATTCTTCGTTTAGAAAGTATTCTCTACTGAATATATGCAGAATGTTTCCTAGAGATAATGGAGATCACGGATATAACAAGGATGAGAACTAATTATATAGTAGGAATAATAAGTAGTAATAATAAGTAGGTAAGTGAGCATTACAAAACTTTATTGACCAGCAATTGCGAAATATACGTGTATTAGAAGGAAAACAGGCGGAATTTAGTAAGTAAATATTATTACGTGATAAGAGGGACTGAAGCTCTTGACCACGTTCAAATCAGGGAAGAACTTCCGGATACCTCCTTCCACTAATCCACCTATTAGCAGCTCTGCGAGTTCTTAAATCCAGAAAGACTCTTCAAAGTCGACTTGGAACTCCTCCCCTTCACCTCCAGCAGTCATGGAACTACCAAAGGCGACTCCCAGTCGGGTTCCGTATTCTCTAGCACAACGATGTGGTCGTCTCCCTAGCCGTTCTACAGCGGCTTCGTTCAACAGAGGTATACCTGATCTTGAAGGGTACGTGACATTCAGTTTCGGTTCTGAACATACCACTGACCATTGGCCAGCGTACTCACCTCACGAGTGGTCACCTTTCGGATCGGTCCAGACCGAAAGCCATTCCAGATCCACGAGAAGCTCGTAGCTTCCCGATCAGTAATCTTCGACCGCATGCTGGCCAATAATATGCGCGAGTCCCTCGAGGGCATTGTCGATATTGAAGACGTTGAGCCAGAGGTATTTACGAGTTTCATCAACTTTGCCTTCTACGGAAACTACGACGTGCCGACGTCGCACAAATTCCGAAAGGCTAAAGACCAAGAGCCCGACAACGCCAAATTGATTCCAGGAGAGACCTACGACTCCCTTCTCGAGCACGTCCTAAAACATGACTTCAGACTATCCAAAAAGCAACCGTATCTACGATATCTGACGCTTTTCATCAACCAAGGAACCCCCGGAAAGCTGTACGGCATGCCGCCCGGGTTGCCGTGGAATAAGGACGAGGAACTCGAGGCAAATTTTGACCTCATGGTCGCGAATCGCCTGTTTGGGGAGATTTGCATGCATCACGTTCAACTCTACATATTCGCCGACAGATACGACATTGCGCAGCTGAGGCAGGTGTGCCTTCACCGTCTCCACAGCTCTCTGACGCGCGCGAGACTCGGCGACCCCGGCTATCAGCTTCTGTTTGGCGTCATCGTATTTGCATTCACCAACACGATGCCGGGAGACAAGATACGAAAGCTGCTGATTCAGACGTGCGTTGCCGACTTTAGCATGGTGCGCGCGATGCCCAGCTTCACCGATCTGCTGCATCGCGTACCTGAGCTGGGGGTTGAAATCATGACTGAGCTCCCCACGTATTGGGAGGAAAGGAGGAAGGCGATCAACGATGTCAATGCAAAGTTTGCATCGGCACAATCGGATGCTACAACGAGCAAAGAAAAATCTTGAAGAGATAGGAACAAGCGCTTTATCGAGTTTTACGACTCAACTTGCTTGGAAGAAGGAAAGAAATAGGCAATCGAGGAATGGCGCAATGATCATTGCAAGTGCTGAGCAGTAGAAGATCTTGCTTTCTAGAAGTTTATCTCAGGGAAGAAGGGAAGGCGTTCTTGGGCAGTCGCATGTTTTTAGCAGCAAGCAAATTACCAAGCGGCATTCATTCTAGCAACGACTCGAACATTGAGCGTGGATTCTAAATCAAAATAGCCAACTACTCTATCCAACAAATCATGATAGTTCTGAACCATTCACATAGGCAAAATGCATGTTTCTTTTCAGAAACTCCTTTTATTTGACGGACTCTTCTGTATTCCAGCTTCAAAGGACTCTTCGTGAAAGAATTCTTGATGAAATTCGTTCATCCCTTGACCGACTATTTTGATTAAGGAAAAAAGCTAATGAAGTTCGTTGAAAGGGAGACTATCTGAGAGATAGGAAACGCCCAAGTCCTCATCCTTACAAAGAACCTCTCTGATCTCAGGTTTCCATGGGACGTGTCCGGTGAATGACAATGGCAGTCCCCTCTGAACCGATCCGCTCTAACGAAGTGTCCGCCGAAATTACATCGCTTTCCTTTTGATAAGATCCCTCGAATGATGTATGATGTATCCTGGCCCCAAATAGCTTTAGGCGTCTAGTGCCCCTGGCACTTGACCCTGAAGTTCTTTCCAGTAGGTACTGGGTATCTCAAGCAGCAGTTCCACAGCGTAGTCCGCGAAGTCGCGGATCAGGTCTCGAACTCCAGCTTTCATTGCATATTCCATATCTCCAACGAGGTATCGTAGAAGCAGCTCGCGAAGTTCGTCCTCTGGTAATGTCTGTGCATGCAGGAAGCGAAGGACGGAGCACACGTGACCAATGAGCGTGTCGTCTCCAACTGCGTTCCATAGCTTTCGCCCAACATCATTGATGCACAACTCCTTGAGATCATCGATGAGATACCTGTCGGCGAGAATGTAGAGTTCTGATGGCTTCAAGAGGTGATCCAATGCGACAATGATTTTCGAATCCAGTCCCTCAGATTCCTCCTTCCGGAGCGAATGACCCATGTATGTTTCGACTCCATACTTGGAGAAGTGCTCCTGACAAAACTCTAATACTGCGAAGCGTTTGTTGTCTCGCTTTGACGACGTGCGCTTGACCCATCTCCTTAGTGAGGCTGGATATGCATCGTCTTTTCTGGCGTCTTCTTCTTCTTCTGAGCCGGATTTGTCGTTGTAAATGTATTCGGGGTAGGAAATAGGGTAGGAGCCGGTGTAAGCATAGTCCAAAAGAAGGAGGAAGGTAGTAGGTTCGACGTCATCCCAAATGATCTTGCCCTCAAGGGATTCTTTCATGCCTCCAGTAATTAGGGATCGAAGAGGCTTCGACAGGTGGACCAAAGCTCCTTCATGGACACGGAATTCGCGCTTCGAATCGCCTTTGCCGATGACGAAAGTGACGACCCGGGAGTCGATGATCCTATGAAACGTTAGCAGATATTCAACCTAGAATCTCTTCTTTCAGACGAAAGAAGACAAAAACTTACTCCTCGATTCCTCTCTTTCGTTTAAGAGACATCGTGACGTTGGCGGGCGAAGGTGTGTGTGGATGTAGAAGTGAGAGCCAGGTTGGTCGCGGAATTGGTCCGTAGATATAGGAAAGCTTGGCGAAGGAAAGAAGGAAGACGCGGCTCTCGTGTCGAATGGAAGGACCGAAATACAAGCTCTCCGTTCCTTCCAAAAGGAAAGACAGAACTGGATGCAGATCCGAATTTCTTGTGTATTGCTAAGCAGTATCTAGCGCCCATTGTTTCTCGTCCATATTAATGATTCTCACGTGCAGCGTTGTTAGCCGGGCTAAGACGCTGTTTAGCGAGATGCGTTGAGGAGTATAGGACCGGGAAGTTCTCTGGCTGAGGAAAAGTAGCTCGGTCCACTAAAGAGATGTGTTCTTCGCAAAAGACATTGTTCTCGCAAGAGCAGAGACGCCGGGATGAAAGGCAACTAGCGGTTGGGGTTTCTTGTCTCTCGGGGTGTCGGCGATTAAGGATCATTGGTGCTTCCTATTTGGTGTGTTTCCGTAGGCTTCTCATAAGCAGCCGCCAAGCTTGGGTAGGATGAGCTTGGATGTACGGTGTCATTGTCTCATGATCACAGCCAAGAAGTCAGGTACCTGATCAGTCAAAGTTTGGAATGGACATCGCTAGACATACTCAAACGACAATCAACTCGACTTCAGGTGCGAGCAGGAAGGAGTGTATTCCTGCGTGATGATATAGTAGACGCTCAAGAACTGACACAGTTATTCTGATCCTTGGAATTGTGTGCTATGCTGTCTAAAGTGTTCCGGCAAGTGCAAAGCCTCGCCATGCCAGACCTCCTCTGCGTCACAGCCCCAAATCGATTTCTCTGGGATCCCTCTACATCATCTTTCCTTGCCCTCAAGTTCACATGTCTCGAGATCTTATCCCCCCTCCCTTCGGCAGTCCTTGCCTGGCTTCTCTCGATGGTCGAGCATACATAAAGTATGTGAATGAGGAGAGAGTGAGCTTGACTGTAGAGGCCCCGGACCAAGGCCTGGCGAAATGGGTTGCTGCGACGTCTCTTTAGATTCTCGAGTCAAGTCTTCGCCAGTAGTTTCTGGGCGCACTGCGTAGAATAGCAACAGCGATCTCGGGAATTTCGTCCAAGACATGTCCAAATTTTGTTGTATTGCGAGTGAGCGCATTCGACAAGTTCATCAGAACGAAGTCGATGAGAAGTGATCGAAGCCCGTCTTCGGGCAAAGTTCTAGGCCAGACGAAAAGCAAGAGCTTACAGATGGACTCGTTGAAGCTTTCTGTTGTGGGATGCTCGTAGAGAATTCGCTGCAACTTCTCAATGCAAAGCCATGCCAACTGGGTAATGGCATACCGATCAGCCAAGCAATAAAGCCGCGCGTGGGCCACAAGATAATCCTCTGAGTGAAAGTGAAAGACGTGGAAGTCAACGGAATCCAGATCAGCGCGCTTTGGCATTTCCACGAAGCGATCTGGGCCGCGCCTGAGTGCTAGCGTAGATTTACCATCTTTGCACTTCATGAGATGTTCTGTGACAATACTATACTCTAGTGAAGGCCTAGCCTTGTAGTAGGCGCCACCGTAGTCGTAGCAGTCGTCGGCATCGTCGTCCACCGTGCCCCATAGGTCGATGTCATTGATCGTGCCATATCGTTCGTTGTGGTCATGAATAAGTAGCTCACGGCCGTATGCGTACTCAATCAGTTGAGAAAAGACCTCAGGCTCGACCTCATCCCAGACAACAATACCCTCCATAGACTCCTTCATGCCGTTGGTCACGAGTGCTCGGAGTGGACCGGAGAGGCCGCTGATTGCTGCTTCATGGACATTGTATTCGACTTCGTCATCTCCGACAATGAACTTAATGATCCGAGATTTGAGGATTCTGTACCCGTGTTAGCGATGCTCCTTGGAAGGTGGAAAGATGTGAAAGAGAGCAGACGTACTCGGCTACGTCGATATCTCGCTTAGTTACCATCGGAGGCATTTCGTGACGATGGCAGATGGGTTTTGGTGAGGAGAAAGCCGAGGGCGCGTAAGTAATGATGAGTGAGATGAAAAAAGAGCAAAAGCGAACGCAGGTGAGAAGGGTGGAAGGAAGAGGGTGTGACATGGAAGGAAAAGTGAAGTTTAAAAGGCTTGGGATCAAATGGATGTGAGTCAATTTCTCCGCCCTTCTTCCTTCCGTGCCTAATTTTGCAGCAACGGAAGAAGCTACCTGAGGCGTATTAGACGCGTTTGGTTTTTCGTTGAAAGGGTTGCCTACTTAAGTGAGTATCCGCCCGAGACACGAAGCCCCCTACCAATCCATGATATTCAGTACTCAAGCCAAAGAAATGTGCCTACTTACCTCATCTTGTGTGGCAACTGATACATCGTATCCGATACAATATCTGGCCTCTCACTCCCAGGCTGTAGCGAGGCCAAACTGCCCTTGATGAAGCTGAATAAAGGCAGGTTTCCACCTCACTCAGACATACTTTACGTTTGAACTGACTTGGAATGTACGAGAATGGAAGGCATCACGCTAGCTTGTGGCTTCAGAATCTTGAAAAGGTATTTTATTTTAGGAGGCGAGCGTCCTGGGGGTGATCACAGTCGCGATCTGGTGCTATTAGATACAATTCTGGCGTCGTCTCGTTATCGTGGCATTACGATCAGGGCCCTTACTGAGGGATGCCCAACTCCTTGTAGAAGGCTTCGGTGCTAGGCTTGCGTCCAAGGAACTGCTCCAGGGTCAACATCTCCTCCTGGCTTCCGCCCTTCTCCAAGACAGTGTGTCTGTAGCGGCGGCCCTCCTTGCCGTTCATGGGATCGGCCTTGAAGACGGAGTAGAACATGTCGGTCGAGTAGACCTCGGATGAGAGATAGCCGTAGTAGCCGGCATCGTAGCCGCCAATCAAGTGACCGAAGCAGGCTTGTCCGTTGCCCCAGGTGCTGTATCTGTTAGTATTGTGTACTTTGGAATATAATGGGGTTTCATACCTCTTCTCTCCCTGAGCTTCTGGGCCCTTGATACCAGCGATCTGGCCGCGAAGCTCGTTGTAGGTTGCTGACAAGTCCAACTTCTTGATGGCCTCGTGGCTCTCGGGGGTATGGACAGTCATGTCAAAGGTACCGAAGTGAAGCTGGCGGAGGTTGAACAGGGCAGCGTTGACGTGCTTGGTGGAGATCTGCTTCTCAATAAGGTCATCGGGAATCTTCTCGCCAGTCTCGTAGTGTTGAGACAGCGCCTTGATAACACTAGGGGTCCAGCACCAGTTCTCCAACATCTGTGATGGCGCCTCAACGAAGTCTCTGACGGTGCTGGTACCGTGGAAACGGCTGTATGTGCAGCGGCCAGCAAGGTCGTGGATACCATGTCCAAGCTCGTGGAAGAGGGTGACGACCTCGTCGTGTTTGAGAAGTGAGGGCTTCTTGGGCGTGGGCTTGCTGAAGTTGCAGACCAGAGCAGTGGCGGGGTATCTGCGTGAGCCGTTGGCTTGCAGGTAGCCGGGCTGCAAGTTGAAGTTGGCGGCGTGACCGTACTTGCCCTGGCGAGGGTGCAGGTCAAGGTACAGGTAGCCAACGAATCCTTCTCCCTCAGAAGCATCATCCCAGACACTGAAAATGATGACATCCTCGTGCCATGCGATATCCTCACCCTTGCCAGTGGGGCTCAAGGCCTTGCGGTCCTCAGGCTTCAGCTCAACAAAGACGAAGCCCAGGAGCTCCTCGAAGATCTTGAGCATGCCAGCAATTGTCGAGGTGATGGGGAAGTACTCGGCAATCTTGTTCTCGTCAATGCTGTACTCCTTTTCAATCATCAATCGGTCGTAGAACTTGTGATCCCACAGGTAGTAGTTGCCGTCGTTCTCAACGCCGCGGGCGTCAGTGTCGGCCTTCTTGAGCTCCTGGAGGTGTTCGACTTCCTTGGCGCCACCGGCAGTCAGACGAGAGCGAAGGTCGCCCAAGAAGTCGTTGACAGTCTTGGTTGTCTTGGCCATCTTGTCCTCGATGCGCAGGGCGGCGTGGTTGGGGTAGCCAAGCATGCGGGCAGCCTCATCACGGAGAATGATGGCCTCCTGGAAGAGAGGAACGTTTTGGTTGCACTTATTCTCGTTCTGGATGAAGACCTTGCGTCTCGTCTCGGGGTTCTTGGCGAACTTGAGAGTCGGGAAGAGGTCGGGGTACTTGAAGGAGAGCTTGAGCTTGCCCTCGTTCTCGCCGGTGCCCTTCTCGAGACCATCAAGAACGTCATCTGAAACACCATCGAGCTCCTCCTTTGTGAACCAGATGCCGCCGTTCTCCTCGTTGAGGTTCTTTGTGAACTCAATCTGGATTTGACTGAGACGCTTCTTGATCTCCTTGAAGCGGTCACGCTGGGGCCCAGCGGGGATACCCAGACCCATCTTGATGTAGTTCTTGTAGTCCTTCTCCAGCAACCTCAAGCTCTCGGGGTCCAGGCCCTCCGAGTCTTTGCGCTGGTGGAGAGCCTCAATGAGCTTGTAGACATCCTCCCTCATGTTCACCTCGATCGAGAACTCGTCCATAATGGTGTCGGCCTGGGTCGAAGCCTCGCGCAGGGCGGCGTCGCTCGAGACATATTGATAGAAGCCAAGGATACGAGTCGACAGTCCGCTCTCGTTCTCGTCTTTGGCGATGGGCTTCATAACATTCTCAAAGGTGGCCTTGTCGGCGGGGTAGTCGGCAACGAGCTTGTCGAGAAGGGCGCGAGTCTGGTCGCAAATCTTCTTGGAGTCGCCGACGATGGACTCCTTGGTGCCGGTAAAGACGGGGGGCGCCTGGGGCGGTGACTTGTACTTGTCGGGGACAGTCATGGCGGCGGTCACCAAGGGTCGGTATGTCGATAGAGATGGGGTGGCGACGAGGGGTAGCTGGACTGGTTTGAAGCGCAGCTGTGCAAAGAGAGAAGTAATTCTCGGGACTGCTCTTGGGGCCGCCAGGATGAGAGCTGTGAGGAGGAATATGAGGAAGAAGGTAAGGGAAAGGAGGGGACGCTTGGAGGACGCCACGGCTA